ATTCTTAGAGCCCTTTAGAAAAACCCATTCTTATTATTGCTGTCTTCTCTTTTCTTTGAGGTTCCAAGAAAAAAAAAGGATGTAAACTTCTAAAAACACAAATTCTTTACTGATTCTTCTTTATGACATAAAATTATGTCAAGGTAAAGAAATAATGGATAATATTAGAGCTGTACCGAATATTCGCTTCGTATTCGCTTCGGGGCCGAATAGTGGACCTAATAACTATTCGGTATTCGGCCGAATAGTTGCGGTCGGGCCGAATACGAATAGTGGTTACCTTACTCCCGTTTCTGCATACACTGTGATGGACTGAAATAACTCTCTTAACACAAAAGTTGATGTTGCCTAAGTCTGTCGAGTGGGGGAAACTGCGACCCGGTTGCGTGGTACAAACTGCATAAAATGCCAACCGCAGTGTGTGTGTGAGAGAGAGTGTGTGTGTCTGTGTGTCTGTGTGAGAGAGAGAGGGAGAGAGAGAGAGAGAGAGAGAGAGAGAGAGAGAGAGAGAGAGAGAGAGAGATCGTGCATTTTTCGTTCTTTCAGGGTGTCTTCGCCCAAATCAAATTTGAAGATATTGCTAACGAAAAAATGAATGTGCGTTTAAATTACATCGAACGAACGGCCGAGCGAACGATGGTTTTGAAAGAGGCGGGAGCCCGAAGACAACTAATCACAGACATCGTTATTTTTCAGCCATGTTATGAGAAGAGGGAAAATTGAACATTTGGTTACCACTGGAAAAGATCTGTGGAAGGAGGGATAGAGGAAGACAACGATAGAAGATTCTTGACAGTCTTGTTGCATGGCATGGAGGTGTGTCAGCACAGGAACTTATACATGCTGCAAGAGATCGCAGATTGTAAGGAGGCATGATCGCCCACGCCAGTCGGCAAGGCTCCTGATGATGATGATACACTATTCGTATTCGTATTCGGCCGAATAGTTGGTCCCACTATTCGTATTCGGCCGAATAGTGAAAATCACTATTCGGTACAGCCCTAGATAAAATAGCCTTGTCAAATATACTTCAATGGTAACATTTTCTTTGTTATAAATATTATAGTGTCGTTATTTTTTCTTTGTTAAACTGACAGTATCGACTATCTTATTAAGTATAATTTTCTGCTCCTTCGCACACACAAAATATATACTTTATAGATTATGTTAACTGATTTATAATATCATATGTAGCCTTAGTACCTCTACCACAATAAATTATATCCCAATTTTTTTGATATTTCTTATCCCACAACAACTTTAAAAAATATCATGATGCTCCGGAACCACATTAGGTCTAGTGGCCCAATGAGTCTTCGTCATGCGACTTGTAGCTGTGATGTGGCATGTCCACCTCTTCTCTCTCTTCTTCACCCACCTCCTCGTCTAATTCCACGCCAGACTCTACTTCTTCGTCACATGGCTGTTGCACTGTCTCTACTTCCAAATGTACGTCCCGCAGTGGGAACACTTCCTCTCCACTCTAATCCCTGATTACAACTATAATATCATAAAGGCCATCATGTCATCTTACATGCAACTTTAGATGAATCATAACAGTTTGTCCAAAATTTTTTAATCTATGACAGTAAAAATTGTAACTTTGAAAAAAATTACAACGGCAATTAAAGTCTAAGATATAAATATCTACTAATATTAACACAATATGGCCGGTAAAAAACTAAAAGGAAACGTTTCTAAATAAATATTCTGTCACCCTGCTTTTATCCTCACACTGGCTTTTTAAAATTGCTGTCGAGTATTTCCAGACCCCCTGCCTCTACCTTCTACCCTCTAAGTTTGCCTAAATCTAAGCCTGCTTAAGTCTGAGCCTGCCCAGCCATTCTCTCGTTATATAGCGATATCTGCAGATTGTTCTAGAAAGCGAGGAATATCGGGAACACTGGCGACTGCGCATCAAAAATACATTAACCCCCCCCCCCCCCCCCCCCCCCCCCCAAAAAAAAAAAAACTATGAATATTCTCTTCAACAAGATATTTACCAGAACGGCAAGGTTGAGTCACATCGTGAAAAAACGAATTTTAGAAACTTCTAGAAGATAGGCCAAGGCCAAACAACATCAAGTTGACATGTACTTCTTATTCTTCTTCGTTCACCGGCTATGAATTCCGCTTGAACTTTTGGCTTTTATCTGGACCTGAGTTTTGCGTGTACAGCCGTTTTTCTGGCTTTTGCCGTTCCCTGCCTCACGGGCAGATATACTCCGACTTCGAGGGAAGACATGTACTAATTCTGTCACTAGTTAGTTTTGGCGAGAAAAGAATGTTCTAGAGCAGGGCTATTCAACTGACGGTCCGCGGGCCAAATCTGGCCCGCCGAGGCCTAGCACGTGGCCCGCCGATCGTTGCCAAAATAGCGAAATGTAGTTATTGAAAAGAACAAAAATTAAATCAATCAATGTTTTTCAATATTCTTCAAAAACCAGTCGTGTCAAATGTGTCAATTGGAAGTGTTTGTCAGTAATTTGTAAATATAAAGGTACGAGGGAACTGGCATAGAAACATAAAAAGTAATTCGATCAGGGTAAAAGTTCATTCCCAGTTCGCTCAAATAACAAAACTCGCCCGTTTGAAGCCAAAGGTAATAAGATAACCTGGAAAGAACCAAGTATCAAGCGGAAAGGCCACCGCTACACTGGACATTCATTGAAGGTGAGATATTTATTGGACAGGAGGCGTACGGAAATACCAGTACGGTCCTGACAGTTAGAGCTTAGATTACAGAGAATCTCTTCTTAATGGGCACCACGAACTAAATGACATTGGATGCAGCAGAACATCCGACACTGGACATGGCAGTGATTTTGTTATCAGATTATATATAACGTTCAGAAGAACGTTCAGTGAGTTCAGTCACATTCACAGTCAGAGGTAGATTGACGGACGCGATTGTACATTAACAAACTGAATCAGTAATAGTGTTTTAAATTATCTACTTTTAATAATTTAGTTTAATACTTAATGCCATTGCTAGCACTAGTAAGTGGGAATGTGAAAATTCAGCAGTGACTGGACACCGAAATATTTATTTATATCACCAACTCTGCCTAATTCGAAACCAGTATGCTTGCCATTTTATTTCTTCAACACTGGACTCGGCAAGATTAACCGATCGAATGATAAAAATATTTGTAAAAGCTACAGAATAATTTAAACAACAGATTTGACTTCAGTATCCCAAACAATGTAATGTTATTTCTTCTGGATCCTTTTAAAATCCCTCCTGCGTGTGATTTTTGTTCCAGTGCTAAAAAGTTGATATCCTCTGTTGATGAAGGTTCTCTGCAGTTAGAACTTGTGGATGTTCAAAGTTCCAGCGCAGTGAATGAAGATTTTCAAGAAAGTGGTACAGTCAAGTTTTGGAACGAGAGGATTCAACAGGAGCAGCTCCCTAATGTTAGAAAACTTGCTGTATTCATTCATACTCACCATGTCTGGCTCAACTTTCACTTGAGAATCAAGCTTCTCTCACATGAAAGTCATCAAGAGAAACAGTCGAAGCTCACTGAGCAACGATAGACTGCAGGACTGCATGAGAATTGCTCCAACTTCTCACCAGCCAAATTTAGCAAAATGAGCTCAAAAACGAAAATGCAGCAATTCTCATTTATTACATTTTGCATCGTTATACCTTTCGGTTTCTTCTGCAGAACATGAAACCAACTGTGGACAGTTATTATTATTATTGTGACAATGGTAACGTTTATTTATGATCCCATCCACAAGTTGGAAATATGTGTATTTCAATTAAAAGTGATCCTCGTGTGAGTTCCACGGCCCTATTGTGGGGAAACCAGAATAGACTCACTGCCTACCCAAAAGAATGTCGCAAGAGTCGACTAATTAGGAGCTTTCTTCGAAGTCTGAGTTTTTCTGTTTGAAGGCCAGGAAACCTAGTCTGCGTGCATATGAGTAAGACGTGTAAAACGGATCTGTACGCAACACTCAGTTTCTGGAACGGGACTAGAGTCCAGAAGTAGACGTACAACCAGAACTTTCCGCTGGATTTTACAGCCGGTGAATACGAAGAAGAAGAAGAATTAAAAGTGAGTATTAATTAGTCATTACAGAAGATTGTAGTACACTTTACATTATAATGGTGAACAACACTGCTACATTTATATAGGCTACGTCCTAGGCGTAATAGTTTTGGAGTGTATTAAATCTACAGACTGAATATGTCATTTGTAGTGTGGGCACTGGCCAGTGGCCCGCGACGGTCTCCATGTTCAACATTTTGGCCCGCGACGGTCTCAATGTTCAACATTTTGGCCCGCGAGCAAACTGAGTTGGATAGCCCTGTTCTAGAGTGTTCTTGACTTCAACTTGTTTTTATTCAATTTGCGCAGTGCTCACTGTTTTAATATCTGTTCTTGATTCCTTTATTCATTGCTCTCCCGTGAAAATGAGCTCTTGTAAGTTTTCTTACAATTGAATGTTAAGTCTAGTTGTCCATTGCGTACATGTGGGCATCCCCTCATTGCTACAGACGGTGTCCATTGTCAGCCGTCAGTACGGCATCGTCTTATCTGAATAGCTTACATATATTACTGACGCTGTGCCTTATCGGCGAATATTCTTTATGTCGGAGTCATGATACTTCCCTACAGCTCTCCTTTCTGCCCATTACTTGCCTCAGTTCCAGTTCCAGTTCGTTTAAAAAAAAAACAAGTTCTAGTCGCCCTAACCAGCTCCAAAATTGAGCGGCGGGTATGTTGGGACTGCGTTTAGTTGTTTGGGGTTTCCAATAGTTTTTTGTCCATTGTGGCGTGTCTATACGCCTGTACTTGTGCCAATTGACAGCCTTATGTCATTTCCTTGTTGTGTATCTTGTTGTCCAGCCCACCGTCCCTGAGTGCACCAAGGCATCCACCAGTTAGCCTCACCGATGCATGACCCATTAATGCAGCATTCCTTTACTGTATGTGAAACTGTGTAAGTGACCCAGTGCCTTTACACTGCCTGCCCTGGCTCTGCAGGCCTACCACGAGCAGCTGACGGTGGCTGACATCACCAACTCATTGTTTGAACCAGCCAATCAGATGGTCAAGTGTGACCCCCGTCATGGCAAGTACATGGCCTGCTGCCTGCTCTACCGTGGCGACGTCGTGCCTAAGGACGTCAACGCCGCCATTGCTACCATCAAAACTAAACGGACAATCCAGTTCGTCGACTGGTGCCCCACCGGGTTTAAGGTCAGTCACGTGGTCATTCTGCGTAGTTGTCTATGCCTGTCTGATATTCTATAATGTTATCTGCGTGTCGTCTGATATAATGTTCTGTCATGTTGTCTGCGTGTCGTCTGACACTATGTTTTTTTCATGTTCTATCTTGTTGTCTGCGTCTTGTCTGATATGTTGTTCTATCAAGTGATCTCGAGGTGCCGCGGCAATAATGAAGATTTTTGTTTTTTTTAATCTGCTCAAGATCAGCGAAGACAGCAATTTAAAACATAAATACAGTGAATGAAGGCTGAAAGATATAATGGCAAGGTGTCACTGCGTTCTCTAGGTGCCGTCTGATAGGTTGTTCTATAATTTGTATAGGTCCCGTCTGATATGTTGTTCTATAATTTGTCTAGGTGCCGTCTGATATGTTGTTCTATAATTTGTCAAGGTGCCGTCTGATGTGTTGTTCTATAATGTTGTCAGGTCCCGTCTGATATGTTGTTCTATCATGTTATGTTAGTCCCGTCTGATATGTTGCTCTATCATATTATGTGAGTCCCATCTGATATGTTGTTCTATCGCGTTGTCTAGGTCCCGTCTGATATGCTGTTTATCATGTATGAGTCCCGTCTGATATGCTGTTTGATCTTGCTGTCTACGTCTGTCTGATATATATTTTTTTTATCATTATGTTTGCCTCCTGTCTCATATTTTGATATACCATGCTTTCTAGCTCCTGTCTGACATGTAGCTACATCACATTGTCGACGTACCGTATGTTATATTGTTCTACGATAACAAGGTTCTGTTCACTGGTCTACAGGTGGGCATCAACTACCAGCCGCCGACTGTAGTTCCTGGGGGAGATCTGGCCAAGGTCCAGCGGGCCGTCTGCATGTTGAGTAACACCACAGCCATCGCTGAGGCTTGGGCCAGGCTGGACCACAAGTTTGACCTCATGTACGCCAAGAGAGCCTTTGTTCACTGGTCAGTGCTCACTGACAGTTACTAGCCTCATGTTTATTTATGTCTTCTACTTCTGGCTACATGACTCAGGTCTCTTTATGTCTTCTACTTCTGGCTACATGACTCAGGTCTCTTTATGTCTCCTACTTCTAGTTTCATGACTCAGGTCTCTTTATGTCTCCTACTTTTAGTTTTATGTCTCACGTTTATTAATGTCTTCTACTTCTAATTTCATGACTCATGTCTCTTTATGTCTTTTACTTCTAGTTTCATGACTCAGATCTATTTATATCTTCTACTTCTAGTTTCACAACTCAGGTTTCTTTATCTCTCCTACTTCTGGCTACATGACTCAGGTCTCTTTATGTCTCCTACTTCTAGTTTCATGACTCAGGTCACTTTATGTCTCCTACTTCTAGTTTCATGACTCAGGTCTCTTTATGTCTTCAACTTCTGGCTACATGACTCAGATCTATTTGTGTCTTCCACTTCTAGTTTCACAACTCAGGTTTCTTTATCTCTCCTACTTCTGGCTACATGTCTCAGGTCTCTTTATGTCTCCTACTTCTGGCTACATGTCTCAGGTCTCTTTATCTCTCCTACTTCTGGCTACATTTCTTAGGTCTATTTATGTCTCCTACTTCTGGCTACATTTCTTAGGTCTATTTATGTCTCCTACGTCTAGTTACATGACTCAGGTCTATTTATGTCTCCTACGTCTAGTTACATGACTCAGGTCTATTTATGTCTCCTACTTCTGGCTTCATTTCTTAGGTCTATTTATGTCTCCTACGTCTAGTTACATGACTCAGGTCTATTTATATCTCCTACGTCTAGTTACATTTCTTAGGTCTATTTATGTCTCCTACGTCTAGTTACATGACTCAGGTCTATTTATGTCTCCTAATTCTGGCTTCATTTCTTAGGTCTATTTATGTCTCCTACGTCTAGTTACATGATCAGGTCTATTTATGTCTCCTACGTCTAGTTACATGACTCAGGTCTATTTATGTCTCCTACGTCTAGTTACATGACTCAGGTCTATTTATGTCTCCTACGTCTAGTTACATGACTCAGGTCTTTTTATGTCTCCTACGTCTAGTTGCAGAACGCGATCCAATTCTACAGCTGGCTGCGTGGATTTTTATCATGGTATCGGACGTCGCAGGTCGACCCAGCCTTCTTCAGCTTTGTTCGCTTTCTGATTTACACCGACCGACAGGTTCTTATGATAAACTTTGACTGTTTTTATGAGTTCATTTTTTAGCCCCATACAACTTTGTGTACAGTGATGACTCACTGGGCCAGTATTCCCTTCTTAATGGGCTGAACAAGGGAAAGTCTTGCAGGACATGTTCTGTAGACTGCACACACAGCCCACAAGGGCACAAAGGTGAACTACTTAGACGAAGCCTGTGCATATGCTGGTTAAGTTTGTTATGTCCTGTCCTGAGACGTAGGACAATGACCTGCCCATGCTGGTCAAGTAAGTGGTAGTCAACTCTGGCCAGACTCTATTCACTTCCAACAGCCTGGATGGCCCTTTTCTTCTCATAGTATGTTACTGAATTCTCTTCCTGGTCACATTCTGCCCCTTTTTTAGCAAGTTTATCTGCGGTTTCGTTTCCTGGTATACCACAGTGGGATGGCACCCACTAGAGTACAGTACACTTTTGGGCAACCACCTTGCCAAGTTCAGATTTCAAGTGAGGGAGTTTGCCACTCTTGAGGGTTTGAAGCACAGATAGCACATCTGTGAATATGACCACTTGGTGGCAGTCAGACAGAACTGGTGTTGTGTAACATTTCGGCAGCCTGCTCTAGTGCTAGGATCTCTGCTGTGTAGTTGGAACAGAATTTACCAGTGGGTATCCACTTTGTGTGGCGGTGGTTGCCTGGGTATGTAATAAAGATTTCAGTATCCCCATTTTTAACCGCACTGGTTGCTGATCCATCTGTGTAAACATGTATCCATGACTGTTCGGGATAGTTTTCATGAATCATGCTAAGCGCAGCTGTTCGTTTGTGAAGGTCATTGGACTCATCTCCAGTTGTGAATCCATTGACTGATGTCATTATCTGTATTGTATCACTGACTTGCTCCCAAGGTACTGGGTATAGGGTAGGTTTCAGTGGTATTGTTCTAATAGGTAGATCAGCTTGATACTGTCTTCTAAGTTTTTCCCCCAATGGAAAAAGCTGCTACGTTTGAGATGCCCTAATGCCAGATCATCTAATCTTTCATTCATGGGGTGTGACTGCATACTATTAAACTTCTCCATCTGGATCATAGTTTTAGTGTCTCTTCTAGACGACAATGTCTGCATTGCAGTTATTTTCTGCATCTTCAGGATTGGTGCAGTTTTCATGGATCCTGTGATGAGTCTAAGGGCTTGATTTCGCACTCTGTCTATGATTGTAGATGGGAATTAGCAGCTGATGACCAAGCTGTTACACCAAACTCCAAGCGGGGTCTTATCGCTCCATTATAAACTTTCTTTAAGGTTTTCTCATTCGCTCCCCATCCTGTACCTGCCTGTTTTCTAAGTAGGCCAAGTCGTCTCCTGGCTTTCCCTTCTACATTTTCTGCATGTTTTCTCCACGTAAGCCTTTTATCAAATGTTACTCCAAGATAAGCGGGGAAGCTTTCTTCCTTTAGCAAGGATGTTCCTAAGTGAATACTAGCATCTTTGTCCCTGTGGAAAGGGAGAAAAGCGTTGTGGATGTTATGTCTGTGTTGATCTCAACATGCCACTTGTCTGCCCATGTCAAAGGGAGATATGCTGCTCGCTGCATTCTTAGATTTGTTACTGTGGTGTGTTCCTCAGTACACCAGAGTGCCAGATCATCTGCATACAGGGCAGCCTTTACTCCTGTAGGGAGATCTTTCACTACGTCATTTATATAAACAAGAAAGAGAGTTGGAGAGATAACTCCTCCCTGTGGTACCCCTTGACGAAGCAACACTTTTCTGCTCTTCAGGCCATCAAGACTGACTCTAGTTCTCCTGCTGTATAAGAAGGATTGGATCCATTTTAGCATGTTTCCTTGGATTCCATGGCACCCAACCTAATATGGGTACCAGGATATATGTCCTGGGGAAGTAAAGACGGTCAACGTAATGCTGACCCCATTACCAGCCTAGTACCGATTGGTCTGTAAAAATATGGGGTGCTTATTCCCATATGCCCGATGCCCCCAAGGCGTGAAAAGCGATCTTTACTTTTTACTTACGTCTAGTTAAATGTCTCAGGTCTATATATGACTCCTATATCTAGTTACATTTATGACTCTTTGTCTCCCAAATCTAATTACGTGTCTAATGTCTATTTATGATTCACACATCTAGTTAGGCTTCTAACATTTCTTTGTGTCTCCTACATCTAGTTACACGTCTCACGTCTATCTGTGTCTCCTACATTATGTAGCAAACATTCTTTCACCCCATATTGAGTGGTTAACTTTCTATCACCCCATATTTTTTTGTAAACTTTCTATCACCCCACATTGTGTAGCAAACTTTATATCACCCAACATTGTGTAGCAAACTTTTCATCACCCCACATTGTTAAGCAAACTTTCTATCACCCCAAATTGTTTAGCAAACTTTCTACACCCCGGATTGTGTAGCAACCTTTCTATCACCCCACATTGTGTAGCAAACTTTCTTTCACACCAAATTGTGTAGCAAACTTTCTACACCCCAGATTGTGTAGCAAACTTTCTATCACCCCAAATTGTGTAGCAAACTTTCTATCACCCCAAATTGTGTAGCAAACTTTCTTTCATCCCAAATTGTGTAGCAAACTTTCTATCACCCCAAATTGTGTAGCAAACTTTCTACACCCCAGATTGTGTAGCAAACTTTCTACACCCCAGATTGTGTAGCAAACTTTCTATCACCCCAAATTGTGTAGCAAACTTTCTTTCACCCTAAATTGTGTAGCAAACTTTCTATCACCCCAAATTGTGTAGCAAACTTTCTTTCACCCCAAATTGTGTAGCAAACTTTCTTACACCCCACATTGTGTAGCAAACTTTCTTTCACCCCACACTGTGTAGCAAACTTTCTATCACCCCATATTGTGTAGCAAACTTTCTATCACCCCAAATTGTGTAGCAAACTTTCTATCACCCCATATTGTGTAGCAAACTTTCTATCACCCCATATTGGGTAGCTAACTTTCTATCACCACACATTGTGTAGCAAACTTTCTATCGCCCCAGATTGTGTAGCAAATTTCCTAACACCCCACATTGTGTAGCAAACCTTTTATCACCACAGATTGTGCAGCAAACTTTCTATCACCACACATTGTGTAGCAAACTTTTTATCATCACAAATTGTGTATCAAACTTTCTATCACCCCAAATTGTGTAAGAAATTTTCTATCACCCCAAATTATGTAGCACACAGTCTACCAGCAACAAAAATATTTCTCTGTCGACAGGTATGTTGGGGAGGGCATGGAGGAGGGCGAGTTTTCAGAGGCACGAGAGGACCTGGCAGCGCTAGAGAAGGATTACGAGGAGGTTGGAGTGGAGACCGCGGATCTAGACAATGAGGAGGGCAGGGACCAATACTAGAAACATCGACTAGAGTTTCTACCCAGGGTTCACCTGGCTTGCAGACAAAACCCGTTTTCTTGTTGATGAGTTGACAGGCCATCATGTCCGCACTGCCTTATTTATATAGTAGCGATACTCACAGTTAAGTTGATGAGGCATCATGTCCGCACTGCCTTATTTATATAGTAGCGATACTCACAGTTAAGTACGCACTGCCTTATTTATATAGGCGATACTCATGTGATGAGCCATCATGTACGCCTTATTTATATTAGCGATATATAGTATGAGGCATCGATACTCACAGCCTTATTTATATAGTAGATGGGGCACTTATGTAGGCGCATGTACGCACTGCCTTATTTATATAGTAGCGATACTCACAGTTAAGTTGATGGGGCATCATGTACGCACTGCCTTGTTTATATAGTAGCGATACTCACACTTAAGTTGATGGGGCATCACGTACGCACTGCATTATTTATATAGTAGCGATACTCACAGTTAAGTTGATGAGCCATCATGTACGCACTGCCTTATTTATATAGTAGCGATACTCACAGTTGAGTTGATGTATGTACGATATACTCACACTTAAGTTGATGAGGCATCATGTACGCACTGCCTTATTTATATAGTAGCGATACTCACAGTTAAGTTGATGGGGCATCATGTACGCACTGCCTTATTTATATAGTAGCGATACTCACAGTTAAGTTGATGAGCCATCATGTGCGCACTGCCTTATTTATATAGTAGCGATACCTACAGTTAAGTTGATGAGCCATCATGTACGCACTGCCTTATTTATATAGTAGCGATCTCAACAGTTAAGTTGATGAAGCAGCATGTACGCACTGCCTTATTTATGTAGTAGCGATATCACAGTGTTGACAGCACTGCATTATTTATATAGTAGCGATACTCACAGTTAAGTTGATGAGCCATCATGTACGCACTGCCTTATTTATATAGTAGCGATACTCACAGTTGAGTTGATGGGGCACCATGTACGCACTGCCCTTTTTATATAGTAGCGATACTCACAGTTAAGTTGAAGAGCCATCATGTACGCACTGCCTTATTTATATAGTAGCGATACTCACAGTTAAGTTGAAGAGCCATCATGTACGCACTGCCTTATTTATATAGTAGCGATACTCACAATTAAGTTGATGAGGCATCATATACGCACTGCTTTATTTATATAGTAGCGATACTCACAGTTAAGTTGATAAAGCATCATGTACGCACTGCCTTATTTATATAGTAGCGATCTCACAGTTAAGTTGATAAAGCATCATGTACGCACGCACTGCCTTCATTAAGTTGATAAAGCATATGTACGCACTGCTTTCACAGTTCAAAGTTTAGTTGATGAAGCATCATGTACGCACTGCCTTATTTATATAGTAGCGATACTCACAGTTAAGTTGATGGGGCATCATATACGCACTGCCTTATTTATATAGTAACGATACATACACTTAAGTTGATGGGGCATCGTAAACCTTTCACCTAATGTTCATTTTAGCAATCCCCAGTTTGATGGATCATTCATAACAGTCTGTAGGCATCGATTGATAGATTCACACACACACACACACACACACACACACACACACACACACACACGCGCAGAGAATGTGTGTATGATGATAGACTGTTCATACAATAAAGTTATCATGGATACATTATATACACAATAATGATATCGTGGACAATTTCAAACAGAACAATGATACCATGGATAAATTATGTACAGAATAATGATAACATGGATAAATTATGTACAGAATAATGATAACATGGATAAATTACATACACAATAATGATGTCGTGGATAAATTGCATACACAATAATTATATCCTCGATACATTGCATACACAATAATGATATCCTGGATCAATTACATACACAAAAATTTTAGGAAAATTAGTCAAATGAACTGTGAATAAAAAGCTTAACGAAAGGAGAAGAACGTACGCAAAACAGGTAAATCGACGTTTCGGCCGGTGCCTTTCTTGTTCTGGAATAATTATATACACAGTAATGTTATTACGGATAAATCACATACGCATAAATGTATCAAGAATGCATTTATGTCAGTGTTGTGTGGCTAAATCTATCTGAGGCGATGATACAAGTTTGACTCTCCTGTTGTGTGGCTAAATCTTTCTGAGGCGATGATACAAGTTTGACTCTCCTGTTGTGTGGCTAAATCTTTTTGAGGCGATGATACAAGTTTGATTCTCCTGTTGTGTGGCTAAATCTTTCTGAGGCGATGATTCCAGTTTTGCTCTCCTGTCCACCCCCCCCCCCCTTTCCCCCTTTTTTAAAAACTGGTCTAGTCGGGAGAAAACTAGACGCGGCTACTTCCAAATAACAAAGCAACAACAACAAACACACAAACTTGCAAATAAACAACTAAACAAATTAGCTGAAGAAGCAACCAGACGTGCCAAACAATCATATCCAGTAAATACACGCACACACACACACACACACACACACACACACGCGCACGCACAAACAAACGAACCCAGGCAACTGAGATAACAAACAAACAATCAAACACACAGACTCGTGTTGACGCTGGGACGCTACAGACACTCTCTAGGGGCCCTCGGGGCGTGTGGTGGTTTCCGACAGATGGCGGCATCAGCAGTGGCTCCCGGCAACTCCCTATTTAACCAGGCGCATCTGGCTTCCTGGCGTGAATCGACCCAGCTTAAACTGGTACCAGGCAAGATCCTGGGAAGTAAAAGCTGACGGCGTCATGCTGATCACATCACCGGTCCAGGTCTACAAACATTACCAATCCAAATATCCAATGACACAAAGTGCCACTATTTAGATGAAAATCACTTGGGCGCAAATCCCAGAAATTCAGTTCAACCCATGGGTTATATTTAGGGCCCTGACGACAGCCGGGTTGGGGTTTTGAAATAATTATTAAAAAAAAAAACTGAATCGCAGTTTGGGGTGTATTCTATAAAGCAGCTTACAGATGATGATTATGATCAACCACAATATTACAGCACACCGAGCGATAAACACGCGGTGACACAAAGTGCCACCATTCGGATGAGGATCACCCGGGAATAGGTCCCAGAAACTGCCGTTCAAACTCATAGATTAGTTTTTAATAGGACCTCCGGTAACAGCCGGGGTGGTGCTTTAAAACAACAGAAATGTGCGTCCTACACTGGGTCCCAGGTATTAGTTCTTAGCCCTCAGATGCCTGGGCGCCGTTGACAGTAATCTATGCTACAAAGAACACACGCCTTCCCATATTTTGTGAGTGCATTTTAATTAAATGTCAACTCCTCCCAAGCCGTGAACACTACACTGGTTAGACTGTCAGTTGCCATTAAAGCTACAAGTGTATAATTTACAATCAGATTGGCGGCCAAGTTTAAGTGCATTTCTTTTCATTACTGCAACTATCAGCAAAAATAAACTTTCGCTGGAGCTATATCCCTTTGAATATATTTCATTTCTTGTATATTATAGCAAATATATATCTCTGCATACATCTGTTAAATCGGATCTGCACGCAAAGTTCAAGTTCTGTATCAACAGGTCCTTTTCCACGGAATGATAATAATACTTATTGCGCACTTTAGGACTTTTGAGTCAGCCACTCCTGACCCCTAGAACTGGTCTATGTAGGAGGCTCCTACCACTCCACCTCGGGTCGTGACTCAGAGGCCAGTTCTGACACCAAGTAAAAATAATTTATGTGCTTCAGAAAATTTTGAGAACAGAGACTCACCAAACATGCACTGAACTGGAACATTAGCTGGCTGTGGAACGAGGGCATTCAAGAGAAACTTGAACATGGAAGGCTCATGTTCTGTATGCTTCTTCGTGGAGTTTCTACTACACATACGCAACCGAGGAAACCAAGATTGGGTAGAGGACGGAAGAAAACCATTTTCTTTTACTATCCCAAGCGAAACCGGGCAATTAAATTAGTATACCTATAATAAAAAAGATAAAGTGGAACCTCTGTATACATCCTTAATCCTTTCCAGATCCTTGGACTTATACCAAACAAAACATATACCAAACAGGACGTATACCAAACAGGACGTATACCAAACAGGAAGTATACCCAACTAATGTTTCTGTAATAAACAATGGGAGAGTGATTAATCGGTTCTCATAAAGACACAAATCTGGTTGTTATTGGCCGATGACGCATTGATAGGTGTGTATAAAATATTGCCAGCACCGCTTTATATTAAAATACATATATACAACAGCAGTCAGGGGAAATAGATGAATATTTTACCTCACTCGACCTTGCTGGGAAGAGTCTACTAGGATGGTGCTGAGAAGAGTCTACTAGGATGGTGCTGAGAAGAGTCTACTAGGATGGTGCTGAGAAGAGTCTACTAGGATGGTGCTGAGAAGAGTCTACTAGGATGGTGCTGAGAAGAGTCTACTAGGATGGTGCTGAGAAGAGTCTACTAGGATGGTGCTGAGAAGAGTCTACTAGGATGGTGCTGGGAAGAGTCTACTAGGATGGTGCTGGGAAGAGTCTACTAGGATGGTGCTGGGAAGAGTCTACTAGGATGGTGCTGGGAAGAGTCTACTAGGATGGTGCTGGGAAGAGTCTACTAGGATGGTGCTGAGAAGAGTCTACTAGGATGGTGCTGAGAAGAGTCTACTAGGATGGTGCTGGGAAGAGTCTACTAGGATGGTGCTGGGAAGGTGGAGGAGGAGATGTGATTGTTTGGAAAGAGAGTCGTCTTTTAACAAAACTTCAGGAATTTGAATTCCTAGCTGTAGTGTCTCCCCCCCCCCCTGCCCCCACCCACACCCATCTTTCCACTCTTGCCTACTGGCACCTGGATAAGGCTCACGAGTCGTATTGCAAATAAACACGGTATACAAGGCAACATTTGTCGCCTCTAACCAGGAGCCATATCAAGTTGCACCGAGCTACCACTGTATGCACTTGTAACAACAGAATCAAGTCCAGTGAAATGTTTGCAGGCGTTCCACA